CAGTGAGATTGTTAGACCCGCACTATATCCCTACTTAGTGCATATGTGCGGTTATATAACTCACACTATTGCCCTCTGCAGAGCATGATATGCGCATCTCGGAAGACTTTCACTTCGACTTCAACTCGGACGAGACACGAGAGAAGGTCAACGGTGCCAGGTCAGTATTGGCCATGCATGTAAAACTGTATACCGACATATGTATATGGGTGTACTATGCACATTTGTACGAACAACACGTTTATGAGTACTCACATGCCTGATTATTTCTGGTCTTGGCTGTATTTGTACGTTCGTGTATGTGCAACTATCTGAATGTCTTTTGTTTTACTCGACTGTATTTGTACGTTCATGCATGTGTAACTATCTGAATGTCTTTTGTTTACTTGGCTGTAATTGTACGTTCGTGTATGTGTAACAATCTGAATGGCATTTGTTTTATTGGCTGTAATTGTACGTTCGTGTATGTGTAACTATAAGCATGTCTTTTGTTTTACTTGGCTGTATTTGTATGTTCATGTATGTGTAACTATATCAATGTCTATTCTTTTACTTGGCTGTATTTGTACGTTCATGCATGTGTACCTATCAGAATGTCTATTGTTTTACTTGGCTGTATTTGTACGTTCATGCATGTATATATCCCTTGCCCTTGGTATTCGCATCCTCTGCCGCCCAAGTCAACCGATTTCTGTAATAGGACACATGAATTGATCACCCACACAAAGGCCAATTATATCAACGCGTCCGGTGAATTAGGGTAGAACAAAATTTCTACTTTACAATCATAGCCTCCTGAAAATAGAACAATTAAGAGGCAATAAACCCTAAACCCTGAACTGACTGAAGAAGTTTGCAAAACTATATTCCACAGTGAGAGACACCAGTAGTTTAATCCAACAAACTACCACACGGGTTTTAGTTTAATCCTATAATACCATCACACGGGTTTCATGGATATGATCTCCCTGAATGACAGACATATATTCTTGGAAAATCAATTCTGATCATAAACCCTAAACCTCTACACCTTAAAAAAAACCTATAACCATTCCTGATTATCAAAGCATTGCGAAAGTCACTGCTGTGAGCACTTTAACACTACTGATCTATGCACCCCTCCAAGAACTTGCACCTCTCAACCCTATCTATAAACCAAAACCATAGCCTAAAAACCCTAAAAAAGACCCCCCGAGTTTATTCCACACTAAACGACGCACCATATTGAACTCTATACCAACGAACTGACCCACACAACTTACAGTGACAGTGTCCATTGGGCTACTACCAGCCACAGTGCTGTGTTCCATATCACACCCAGAGATCGACTGGAAGACATCGCTATGATCATCAAGGTATACACCCGTGCACCCAAAAATACGACCTTCTGTATATGCGATATGTCTAGACATAATGTGTTTCTCATATGGAGTTATTTACGTACTCGTGGATAAAATACATATACCTAAATTCATATA